GTATTCGTTATTTAATATAGATAATTTCTTATTTGATTTATTTATTTATTAATTTATTTATAGTGTCAACGGAAAAATTTCTCTTTTGTAGAATTGTAATTAAAAAATTTGTGGTATGTAATAAAATTTTTTGATAAATTATTTTAAATTTAGTAACATTTCAATAATAGGGATTATGTATGTATACACCTTTTGTAGAACAGTTCAGCAACAAAAAAACGACTACCATCTACGCGTTAAAATTTGTCCAACATCCGTTTGAAAATAAAATAAATGAAAAATCAAATTTGAAATTTATTCTGAGCTTCAAAAATAATGAACTTGAATAAATATTTTAACGTAACAAAATCATACAGGGGTTTTGTATTGAAAAAAAATGTTTGCCCTGTTAAACCTGGAAAACAAGTAAGTATGTCCAGTAATAATTTCGGTACTAACGGCTGTATTAAGGATATTTTATTTACTTTATAAAAGGCAAAAAGGTTCAATGAATTAACTGATATAAATTAAAACAGCTACCTTTATTTACTACTTTGTTCAATTAAAAGTGTAAGTGCAATTTTGCATAATGTTCACTAAAATTATTTTGAAAAATAATTGTTGGATGGCCAAATAATTAAATGCCAAAAATTTTGAGATCTGAATTGATTCATTTTTTTTAGTAATTCAATTAGTAATAGTGTCAGTTATACTTGTGATAGGTAACAGGTAGTCATCATACAAGTCGATTAAGTCGTATAGATAGTATTTTTAGTTCTCTCTACAACTTTCGGATTTAACTTTGGCCATCCAACAATTATTTTTCGAGATTTTTTTTAATAACCGTAATGCGCAATTACAATTTAACTGTTGTTTAAATACTTTTCCTTCTTATAGGCTAATAAAACCCAGGATAGTTTTGTTAGAACGTACGATTTTCTCAGTTGGCGTTAAATAATACGTTATTCCACATTCAAAATACGATCTCGTAATATTCCGTCTCTAACTATACATAATATGAAATATTTCTTATTACATGTTTAAACGTTTAAAGTGCAGTTAGTGTGAGAACAATTTTTTTTAAATAAGAAATTACGCGCTAAAATATCGTATGGCATCGTTGATTTTTAGGGAGCCTGTACATGGGTGTCTGAATGTCTTAGGGTGAGATTACATGGAGTCTGGCAGTCTGCAGACTGTCAGAATCGTGCCAAATTTAAAATATGTTTCAATATTAATATTTAAAACCTGTTACGTTAGCAAAGAAATAATTATCGTAATACATTTGCATTTCTGTATTAACTAATGTTTACGAAAAAAAAGGCGACGAAAAACGTTTTGTCACAGTTACATTTTGCTATACATACCAGGTTACATCAGTGACCCTACTGACCGACTGTGCGATGTTAACATAAATCTATAAAAAAAGTTATTAAATAATATTTGACACGTTTTATTGTTAATGAAATTGATTATAACTATAAGCCTTTATTTTACTAAATTATTCTGAGATGTTATAATTTAAACATAATTTAAACTTAGCGCGATTCTGCCAGTCTGCAGACTGCCAGACTCCATGTAATCTCACCCTTAATTAAGACTGTAAGCCAAACCTATGGCGGGTGATTCAATTCGAACTAACGTTAACTGAATATTGATATAAATTGTTTTAAACAAGATAATAGGCGTCCTGTTCGTAACAAAACTATGTTACGTGATTGTATTATAATATTGGAAAGATATTTAGCCACCAAAACTAAAAAAAAATTTGCTAACGCTGAGTCGTTAAAAAGAGAGGTTATGTTGACAAAATTATTGTATTAACATGAATTGTAGAAATTTTTCATTGGATGCCTTAAAGACGTTCTAACCTTATAATGTCGTCACGTTACATAGTTTTATTATGAATAAAGTGTCTATTTCCTTGTTTAAAACAAATTATATCGGTATTCAGTTAACATCAGTTTGAATTAAATCAACCGCCATAGGTGTGGCTTACAGGCTTAAGACTGTAAGACGCCCATGTAAAGGCACCCTAAGACGCCCATGTACAAGCACCCTTAACAAGCAACATGGCCGACCATTTTGAAATTTTGATAAAAAACTGTTTGACACACGCTGCATTACGGTATAATTGACTGTTTGTTCACAATCTCTCATGAACGTGAGCATATCGGGAAACTAATTACCACAAAAAAACATTAATATACGATTAAAGTAAATGAAACATAAATGATTTCATATACGAGAACTATGAGAAGCATCCAAATGGCCGTTACTGATTCGCCGACCAGTGCGCATGCGCGCAGCATTCAAAAATTTCAAGTCAACCGTCTCGAACGCGGGAAACTGGACTCTCATCCGCACGCTCGCATTCACCCAACACAACAGTCATTCGCAGTTTAAGTATACCTGTACAACCGCAATTTTTCGGAAACTGCGAAAGAGGTGTACCTATATAGAGGTGCAAATAACAAATGTACATAAAATTGTTAGTAAAGACTGCTTTAACTTTAATAATGTGTGTTTTTGTGTAGAAATCGTACGTATTCAACGCAAGCCAAGGCCATTCGGTGATGATCGCACAGTAGGTGAATAGAGTGCAGGTTAAGTGTGTGGTGCGCCCACGGCCAAACAAAAGAAAAGATGGATCTACCGGCCACCCAAGCCTTCGACGAGGACGACTTCATGGCCACGCAAAGTTGTCCAGTTAACGACGATGACGAAGAAATATTGGTAAATAAGAAATATTTTTTATGACTCGATGTTGTTTTGTAAATAAGTACACGAGGTATAAGGAGAAAGCGACGTTTGACGCATATCGGCTATACTTATAAGTACATGTTTACTCTTCAGGTTGCCACTTTAAGTGTCAATGGTGTGCTACACTCAATTTATCCGGGAACTACGACGATCGGAAGGAGTCCAGTAAACAAAATAACTTTAAACGATGAGGTTAGTTACAGTTATTTTCTTTTATTTTACTTTACAGAGGCAATTTTTCATTGGCTTGACAGCGTCATGAGGATGAGTCTGCTAGTGCATTGATGGCTTGAAAATGTTCACAGCTCCTCCTTGGGAGCTTGGGGTTTTTTTTTCAGTATGTTTTCGTTGAACTTTATCTTTTTCCAAAACTTTTTCTGTCCCAAGTTGTCATTGGTCTCCATTTTGCAGTTTTTTGGCCCTGATACGTGTAAGTAGTTCAGTTTCTTTTTCTCCCAATCAACTTTAGGCCACTCAACTCCAAAATCAGGTTTGCTGAAATATTGATTAAAAAGTTAGGTGTTACGTTTGTACTATTCATTCTTGAATTAGCATACATACCCATTAATTGCTACTGAAACCCAAAAGTTTAGTAGATCTTTTTGCATTGCCTTATCTTGCTCTGTCGTCCTTGGGTTGATGTAAGGCGTATCTAACACAAGACAAACATCATCCCCATGGCTCACCCCTACAGAGAGGAAACAAATTAATCAAGTTTAAGAACATTTGTTAGGTTATTAATAAATTAATTATTTGTAAATTTAGTGATTTTCACTTATTAATATTACAAAGAGGATAAAATTACCAAAATCTTGTTTTGTTCCACTCAAGACATCACTTAAGCTGTCAGCAGCTCTGTAACTGAAGTAATAAAACCATACTGGGCTTTTGTTTGCTTTAGCTTGTAGTCTTGCTGCTTTCTCGGCATCAGTGACAAACAAACGATCACCAACCATCAAAGTCAATGGCCTAACGTTTTGGGTATCAATAGGGTTTGGTCCATAGTAATGCTTTTTGATTTTACTTGCTACTTTAGCATGTTTGTCACTAGGCAATGTATAATTGTAATCAAGCAAATACTTTGCCACTTCATTCCAGTTTTCATCTAGGTATTTCATATGGTGTTCTTGTGCTATGAATTCTAAGGAAAAAAAAAATAAATTAATTGTAAGTTTTCACGTACAGAGTTGCATTTTTTACGTGTACTTACCAGCAACAGGATAAAGACCTTCTTCGCTCACAACTCCTGTAATCCAAGGGACATCTTGGGCATTTCCACTAGCAATGATCTCGACTGGTGGTTTGTTTATGAAATAATCTTTTTCAACCTTTTCCACCACTGGTCCAAATGGCGTGTAAGGGTTGTAAAGCCAAGGCTAGAAAATTAAAAGAAAATTTGAAAATTTGCAAAATCACCATCAAACTAAACAGCGATCGATATACCATGAATTCAGACGTAGCTTGAACCAAAGGTCTAGCTGGACGTTGTTGCAAACATTCGACCATGTCCTTTGTATTATCTGTGGGACAGCCCATTAGAGCTCCTAGTTTTTTCGCTTTCTCCTGAGCATTTTCTGTTTGTGCCCAGCAAAGCAGTGCAGTCCCACTGAAAGATATGCCATTTTGGAACAATCCAGCACTAAGTGGAGTTAAATAGTGATAGTGCACACTAGCTCCTCCAGCACTAAGACCTGTTAGAGTTATCTTCTTTGGATCACCGCCAAACCATTCTATGTTGTCATGCACCCAGCGTAGAGCCATACTTTGATCTTTTAATCCCATATTTCCAGGAACAATTTCGTCTTCGGTACTTAGGAATCCTAAGTCAAATATGTTTCATCATTATCATAGAATTTTTATATTTTATAAATAATCATTTTTCACGTAAATTACCCATTGGTCCCAAACGGTAATTAATAGTAACCAAAATAACATCTTTATCAGCTAAATATTTGGCTCCAAACCTACTTCCCGTGCCAAATTGGAAACAACCACCATGAATCCAGAAAATAACTGGCATTGGTGAAGCTTTTTGATCACAAACCGGCACATAAACATTCAAGTACAAACAATCCTCGCTGCCTTCCACTCTTTCATCTTTGTTTGCCGGCATGTGGGTATATTGAATGCATGCATCCGAAACTTTTGTTGCTTGTAATTCACCTGTCCAGCTTGGAATCTTCTTTGGCGCCTTTCAAACAATTAAAAACTTCTATTATAAATACAATGAAATACCAATGTAAAAAGTTTTTTTGCTGGTTTTTTTTTTTTAAATGCTACAAAAAAAAAAGTTTTTTTTATAAAGAATAATACATAGTTTCATTTTCATACTCTATTTCTTCTTGATTAACGTACTTGGAATCTCAATTTTTCCATGGGTGGAAGAGCATAGGGAATCCCTTCGTAGGCTTCGTACAGTCTACCATTTTCAGATGTTTTATAATATCCTCTTATTGACCCAAGAGAAGTTTTGACCTTTGGATAATCCTCTGTGCCATTGATGAGAGTAAAACTCAATAATAAAATAGCCAACTTGTAGAGCAACATTGCTATATCAAAACTGAACGCAAACTGCTATTTTTCCTCAAGAACACAGTAATAAATAATCCCTTGCCCCCACCTCTGACCCATTGCATCAGTAAATGCGAGTGCTCAATAATTTTGCTTGAGCAAACCTGACAACAACATTTCAAGTTATCAATTGTCAGATATGTTATCTAATATTCACATATAGCTGTATTCTTTTACATAATTACGTATTTATGCATATGTAACCTTGAATTTTTCGCAAAAAATAGTGGGCAAATAATGTTTTTATTACTTCTTGACTTTTTTTTTTTTTTTTTTTTTTTTAATCTATGCAGTAAGAAAATACACAAAAATGAGATTTAATAAACATGCAACCATAAACAAGTACCTTATTTTTTAATTGAAATTTGTTTTTACCTTGTATTATATCTCTTAAGTGTGAGTACTATAGCTCAACAATTAATGTTATTATCAACGTGTTTTTATTAAATTTCAGACAGTCTCCAAAATTCATGCAGAAATCGAAGCAGAATCTTCAAATAGGTGTATTTTTATAAAAGATAAGGGTTCTTCCAACAAAACAAGGATAAATAAGGTAATTATGTTAATAAACAAAATATTTCTGTTATTTTGTTAACAATTATATTTTTATAATTTCCTAATTTTTTTCTTTTTTTAGTTAAAGCTAAAACCTAATTTAGCATATCAAATAAAACATAAAGACCTATTGTCTTTCGGAAAAGTTGTGGCTACCTTCAAAGTGCACCATGCCATGGACGACTCGTTAAACAACGCACCCCAAGTCAAAGTCAACAAATCAATCATTCCTGATACTCCAGAATCTTCAATCGTATGTATTTTATGTTGAATTTATTAATACTATCAACAAATTTACCCTTTTAAAATTACAAATTCATTTCAAAACAATCACTTAAGATTTTTATAAACCATAAACTTTTCATCACGTGTTAGCTATTACCTACCAGTTTAATACTTGATGATACCAACTTTCATTTGCTTATCCTCTAAATAACCAATGATTTTCTGGCATTTTAAATAATTCACCAAAGTATGAACGTTAATGCTTAACTTTCTGAAATGTTTCCATAGCTGATTTATGTGGATTTATCCAACACTTTTATTCGTCAAATGACCTAACGACTCAAATTGTAAAATATCAATAGTAAAAAATGATTGCTACAGTATATTTTGTTACAATTTTTGTTTCAGAACGCTTCCGCCTCGGAAAGCGATGTTTCAGCTATACCTGGCACGCAAGCGGAAGATAATGATTCGCCGTTCCGACGTCCAAGCTTACCACCCCGCACTCCCACGAGTAATAAAGAGCACAATATCCCTGGAATTGCAGCCTTCAGTGCCAATGATCTTCCATCGCCGTTGGCTACAGATAAGAAAGACACTACCACTGACAAAGCTGCAGCTTCAAGATACTCAACTAGTGACACCAAAGAGATGACTGATAATGATAGTGCATGCAATTCGACTCTTAATTCTTCTCGGTTGCGGAAAAGTTTCAATGTGGATCAATCGGAAAGTGTGGAAGAGGAGGATATTTTTGAAATGGAAACTCAGAGGCCAGACAGTCATAATGATATCGTGGATGACTTTGAAAATCTGGCAACACAACCATATGAGCGTAGAAAATCTAACTCTGCAAGAAAATCAATGCACAACGTCTCTGTTTATAGCGCAGAAACTCAAAAGGTCACGAACGAAGCTAACATTTCAAACAGAAGTCTCGATACACCCAAGTCCAGGAAATCTTTGTTGGACAAACTAAATGACGTATCCATATACAGTGCTGAGACTCAAAAAGCTGCATCTGAGACCTTTGAAGATATGGAGACTCAACCAGATGAAAAAGTCGTTGAAGGTCGAAGACAGTCGGTGGATTCACATACTCATGATGTAGAGTTGAAGAAGGCCATATCTGATAAATCAATTGAAAACGACTTGGAGGATCTAGCAACTCAATCGTTTATAGCTGTTGAATCTAGCACGCCTCAAGCTCATTCAAAAAATTCATCCGAACCAGCAAGTGCCACTAAAATTCAGAAACCTGTCAGCACCATGATGTCGATAGAGGATATGCAAACCCAAAGCTTCGAAGATGAAATATCAAATAAATCTGAAACGCCAAATGTCTCAACAAAAAAATCCAGTGGTAAATCATCGATTGCACCCATAGCTGAGAAATCGATGTCAGACATATCAATTGAAGATCTTGAAACTCAGGAGTTTGAAGCTCCGAAAGAACATACTTTTAAAACACCAACTAGACCAATAAGATCTTATTCGAGAACTCCCAAAGTTCAAGAACGTGTGACTGAAGCCTCCTTAGAAGATGTGGAAACACAACGTTTTGAGGATTTGAAATCAGATAATTTGGATGCGTCAAATGTATCCTCAAGAAAATCTACAGGTGATTCACCTATTACCTCTAATGTTGATGAACCTGACGCTTCAATTGAAGATGTGGAAACTCAGCAATTCGAGGAAGAGGCAACGCCCACCAGGCCAACAAGGAAATCACTGAGGACTGCTAAATCACGTCAATCCATGCTTGAAGCATCAGTAGAAGATGTGGAAACGCAACGATTCGAGGACGGAGAGCCAGGTGATTCGAATGTATCCACGAGAAAATCCAGAGGTGAATTATCGAGTACCGCAGAAGAAGAAAAATCAAATGTTTCATTAGAAGATGTCGAAACTCAGCAGTTCGAGGTGGAGACAACACCTGTCAGACCAACAAGAAAATCGTTAAAAACTCCTAAAGAACAGCAGCCTCTGCTTGATGCATCGGCAGATGTGGAAACCCAACGATTTGAGGAACAAGAGTCCGATGAATTTAGAGCTTCAAATGGGCCCTCAAAAATATCCAGTGGGGAATCATCATATACATCCAAAGACGTACAATCTGCTGATTCGATAGAAGATGTAGAAACTCAACAATTTGAAGAGGAAGTAACACCTACGAGTCCAACAAAAAAATCTCTAAATACCTCACAAGATGTTGAATCTACTGATTCTATGGAAAATGCAGAAACTCAACAATTTGAGGAGGCAACACCCGTTAAACCAACAAGAAAATCGCTGAGGACTCCAAAGTCTCGGCAAGCCACACTTGAAGCATCGATAGAAGATATGGAAATCCAACAATTTGATTCTGATTCTGAATTTAGATCTCCAATTGCACCCGCCAGGAAATCTCATATCAAATCACCAAGCACTCCTAAACCTGAAAATTTAAAATCAGATGAGCCAATGGAAGAGGCAGAAACTCAACAACTTGAAGAGGAAAATCAAGATAATGTCAGTTCTCCAACTAAGTCTACGAGGAAATCGCTGAGGATATCTAGCTTTTCCAAACCTACAGCAGACGCATCGATCGAAGATATGGAAACGCAGCAATTCGAAGATGAAAAGTCGCACACTTTTGAAACGCCAAGCAGACCATCGAGAAAATCCAGTTTAAAGCAGAAGAGTACCCCTCAAGTTCAGAAAAATGCACCACTTGCATCAGCGGATGAAACTTTGGGAGATCTGGAAACTCAGCATTATGAAGAGAAGTCGAATACTACCAGCAGAAAATCTACCGTTAAATTTATTGGAAATGCTGTTGCGGATGAAAATGTACAAGATCTTGAAACGCAGCCATTTGTTTCAGACAAGAGCATGAAATTCATAGACGAAACCATTAATGATATTGAAACGCAGCCTTTTGTTAGCAGAAAATCAGCCAGTCGAACACGTGCTTCTGTTAAAGATATCAATGAGTCTACAAGTGAGACCGACAGTCCAAAAAACAAAACTAATGGTAGAAAATCAAGCGAAACTCTTGATGAGTCCAAAAAAGATTTACGGGCTTCTGGCTCGTTTTTAGAGGATCAAGTAAATAATAAATCAAGTTCTGTGGATCAAGATCATGAAACAGATGAGGTACAAGCTAAAGAAAGACAAACTTCCAAGGTTAACAAGTCAGCAGTAACTTTGTCTAATGAGGATGAAACTGTTGAATCAAATGTAGTCAATAGAGTTGAAGACACCCCAAAAGAACCTATTGCCACGGAAAGAGAAGACGAAGAAATGTTTTGCTCGCAGAGTATTTTTGATGACATTCCATTCGACTTTGTACCAAGAGAGCCTGAAGAAGAGGATGTTGTAGCAACACCTGAAAGAAGTGTGGAAAAAAGTAGAGAAGAAAATACTTATGATGGTGAAAAAAAGCTAGAGGAGAGTCTGCAGCAACAGGACGAGTCGAAAGCAGTATTGGATGACTCTGATATCGAAACGGATGAGGAAGGCGTTTTTTCAAATTCACATTCAAAAGAGAATAAATCTGAAAAATGCTCTCCAGTTGAGGAAGATGGTGACTCAGTAACAGATGAAGAAGGGATCTTTTCCATGCGGTCGTCAATGGAAACCGCCAAAGGCACAACTGCTGATGAAAACAACACGAGCACCCATGAAAAAACAGATAGTAATAATAAGAGCAGTTCAGAAACGGATGAGGAAGGTATTTTTTCGAGTCATCTGTCAAAAGACGATGACTCGCCTACTAATACGGACGGTAAAAATATCGGTCGTAAGTCCAAAGAAACCGACAAAGAGAAGGCTGTTTTTTCAAATAAATCGGCTCGGAAATCTAGCATCAAAACCAATCAAAGCATTAACGGAAAGACCGAGGATAAGATCTCCGATTCAGAATCTGATGAGGAAGAACAGTTGTTGAACGCATCAAAGAGCAACACTTCAGCAACAGAAAAAGAAGTTAAGAACAACTCCAGACAAGCTGACGAGTCGCACGAAAAAGACGTATTGTCTGACTTGGAAGAAGACATTTTCGAAGAAGACGTCGACCAGGAAGAGGACAAAGAGCAGCAGACAACAGAAAAAAGTTTAAAGAAATCCGAGTCCGAAGATGACATGGCTTCAAAGGTGGGTAATGTATCATCCTTATGCTTTAAAAATGTTGACAGGAAATCGGTTAGTATTAAGAAAAAAGATGAAAAAATTGACGAATTGGCGCCTATGCAACTGCTGGATACCGTGCCATTAGAAACTGAAGACATGGACCTCTGTCCTACTCAAGTAATTAGCCATGATTGCGTCACTCCTCCGCGAAATCGCAAGTCGATCGACGAACTAACGCAGATCGCAGATTCGAGTGCCGATCTAGACAGCTACTTTGTCGCTCCCACGCCGATCCCGCCGAAAAAAAAATATGCTCTGGAGAAGCCTTCCGTTTCGGATGACGAACTTGAACTGGCGCCGACTCAGAAAATCGATCCCAACAACTCGCAATCGTTCCGCACGCGAAGACCCACAACTCTCGTCGGGGACGATATTAATATGGAGACGATTCAAAGGGTGGAAGACATCGAGCTGGAGCCTACGCAAATTATTGACACGCAGACGATTCAAGCCACCGACCCTGGTTTTGAGGATGTTTACTTGGCTCCAACTCAAAAAATGTCCCAGAGAGGCAGCGTTACCAGCAAATCTGTCGAGGAAGATGATCTCGAATTGGCACTAACTCAAAAATTGAACACCGAGTTTCTGGAGCCTACGCAGCTCACTGACTCTAGTTCAAAAGATACTCGCAAAAGTACAGTTCACACAACTGTGTCGGCCAGGGCAGAAACGAGACCGTCGTTGGGTTCGTTGAAACGACAGCGCGAGGAATTGTCAATCAGCGCCAGTACCAAGAAAATAAAGCTAACCAGCGACCAAAGCTCAACGCTAGATTTCGACAGTACTGTAGAATACAATCTTAATCGACTGTTCGAAGGGCCAGAGGAAAGACAAGTATTTGAAGAGGACTCGTCACTGCTGACCCAGCAGCTGGAAAACATTCTAGAATCCAGTCAGATCGAAGAGGTCAGTCCAAAAATTGATTTGAGGAAACTGCTGCCATCCCCAACGTTGGGATCGAGGCGAAATAAGTCGCGGAGAAGGGCTTGTCGCGCAATGCGGCCAGTGAACAAATTATCCACTTCTGCATCTTTTTCGTCATCGGGTGAGTCGAAGGAAAAATCAACCGATCCGGACGACTCGATAGAAAAAAACCTCAATTCTCTGTTCGAGGAAAGCGTCAACAACTTCGAGGCTCTAGAGTCCGATGAATTGATGATGACTCAGCAGCTGAAAAATATTCTAGCCTCTCAAGACGACGATCAACTCAAGGACGAAAAAATTGTGGATAAGATGTCGAGTGCCGAGAAAAAACGGCACAGGTTAAGCTTATCTGCGAGCACTCCAAGAGGTGGTGTTAGTAAGAATGCAATCCGCGGATCTAGATTATCTGTCGTGCGAGCGGTTTTCGATAAAAGCAAAGCCAGCCCATCGGTGAGTGACGCGAGTCTACTGTCGCAAAACGAATACTTTGCGAAACTCAAGTCCAAGCGCAAAACCAACGTCATATTTTCCCAGTCACCGGATTTACAACAATCGCAAGCCAGCCCATCGGTGAGTGACGCGAGTCTACTGTCGCAAAACGAATACTTTGCGAAACTCAAGTCCAAGCGCAAAACTAACGTCATGGATTTGTCGTCAACGGACGACGAAGCAACGGCGGAGCCAGCGTTGTCCACCGAAAGCGAACGGGATGTGGTGTACCGGCGAGGAATGTTGGGCTTCTCCTCCGACCTGATGCCCGTCAAAACGACAAATCGCCTTCCCTTTCTACAAGACACGAGCAAGCCGTTCAGTGATACCCAATCCGACAACGACGAAACGCTCGAGCGATGCCAGATTTACAGCATCAGGAAGAGCTTGAACTCTCCGTCGGCCCTCGAGAGCGAAAAGGAAATCGTGTACCGGCGAGGATTCAAAGGTTTCAGCACCGACAAGAGGCCAGAGAACACTTCGAGTCGCGTTCCCTTCATTCGAGACAAGGGCAAACCGTTCAGCGACAGCCAATCATCCGAAGCCGAGGAGTCGCTACAGCGAAGCCTCTCCAGCAGCAGTGGCAAGAAGCGCTTTAACCTCAGCCTCAAAAACGTCGATCTCAATGGATCGCTATCGTCTCTGTACAGCGACCACGAGGCAGACACGAAACCAAAGTCACAGTCGCCGTGCAAGTCTCAGCGAGGATCTACGAGTAAACCAGTACCCGGCAAGAAGGCGCGAGAACGCGTGACCCTTGGCTTCGACGACTCGGGCAATCCAGTCTCTTGCGAGGAGCTGTCGTCGCCCACCAAACAGGTCGGTAGTAGCCAAGCAAGTAGAATAAATGTAAGATCCGACGACAAGAACAACGACGACGCAGACGACGGTAACAACGACGACTTTGCCTCGGCAAGCCAATTAAGCACGAAGAGCACGGGCTCGAGGTACGGTCGCGCGGATGAAGACAGCGACGATGACTTTTTGAAAAATATGCCGGCAATCAAGGTCGCCGGGACGGCTGACTGTCCGCCCACCAATTCCCAGCTGGCCGCGCCCAGCGACACTGAAGACCTCGAGTCTATATCCTCCGGGGACAACGAGATTCCTGCCAAGTGGAACTGGTACGCCCAGAAGCGCTTTGACCTCATCTACTACAAAAAATTGAACGAGACGACGAAAGATGAGGACGAGAACGAGGAGAGCGAAGGAGAGGACAGGGTCAACAAAGATAAGATCGACAAGCAGCCAAGCCCCCGCAAACCGACAGTCGATGAGATACTAGCGCGCTTCGAATCGGACAACGCAGGGCGCAAATCCCGCAAAATCAAAATCTCGGACAGCGAAGTGGAAGCCCACAATAGCTTGCGCCGCTCGTCCCGGCTGTCGAGCTTCTTGGAAAGCTCGCACCATTCCAGCCTCGAGGAGCCGAGTTCGAGCTTCTTGAGCCAGAAGTGTAGAGCCGGCGAAAGTAGCAACGAGTCGGACGAGGACAACGGCACCGTGTCGAGGCGCATCATCCCAAAGTACAAGCCCCTGAAGCCGGTAAACTTCGAGGCTCAGTTCGCATCTGCGCTTGTCGATGACGAAGAAGACTCGGACGAGGAGTTCGCGGAGCTGCGAAAAAAGTGCGTGCAAATGCTCGCGGTCAAGAGCGCCTACTCCAATCCGAGCACGAGCAAACGACAGGTGCCGGCGGAGAGTGGCTCGTCTCTGTCGTCGTCGTCGAGGCGACAGAGGCGCCCGCAAAAGACTTTAACGAGCACGACTCCTACTGCTACCACGACGACCAAGACGACTAATAAACGTACGTCTGATGATAATCATGGGATCGCGATAACGAACGAGCTAGCCGGAGAACGAGTCGATAGGCGTGATTTGATAACCAGTGAGTCTGGGATAGCAGTACCTGATGTGGATGCCTTTGTTTTTCAGGTGTCTGGAGCTGCCGCTGGGAAAAGGAAGTCGAGCCCAAAGACAGCGACGCGGACGACGAAGACGACGACGACGACGACGACGACGACGACGACCACCACCACCACACGCACGCCAGGCCGTCTGTCGCTCGTGCGCGCCGACAAAGGCCAGCCAAGCGTGGACGGCAGTGCAGGCAAAGCGAGTAACCACGAGAACCAGCCGCCAAAGGGCGACGAGAGCTTAGCTGCCGAGGCCGACAACACCGGCAACGATCGTCAGGTCAAACTGCAGAAACTATCGGTACTTTTATCTCCGCTGAGAGAGAGATTTCTGACTAATAAAACTGCCGCTTCCCGGAATTTGAAGAGCCCCGATGATAATACTAAATCCGATGTTGTTAAACAGCCAACCGCAACTGCTGCCTCTGCCACCCCACCCGAGAGCAAAAGAGTCGGCAAGGCTCCCCAGATCTTGGATAGTTATGTACTGCTGCAAAAACCGAACGGTCAAACTCAGTCGCCTGGTTCATTGGCTAACAGTTCTCTCGAGGTAAAGAGTACGAGCGCTAGTGCATCGCGCAAGCTCGGCTCGAAAGCCACGCGGAGTAGAGCAGCCATAGCGGCTAGCACTGTCAAGAGTACTCGGGGCAAGGACTTGGCTTCCACTAAGAGAGGCAGCGAGGTGATTGAAGATTCGGATGATGAGGTTCCGGGCTCCCAGCAAACGAATACTCGGTTGGGTAGAAATGTCAGAAATCGGTCCCTCGAAGAGAAAGTCACGGGAGAAAAGGATAAGCCAGTGAGGACGAGAGGTGGCGCCAAGGTGGCTCAAAAAGCTCCGTTGAAGAAAGCTTTGCTGACTAGTGTCGATAAATCAAAGAAAGTACCAATCATTGATTTGAATGTTGAAGTCAAAACTGCGGCGATAAAAAATAGTAAGCAGGTTCAAAGTGCCGTTAAAGAAAACGCCAAGAAAACCTTGGACACTAAAAGCTCTCAGAATAAAACAACTAGAAGTACTAGAGCTAAAGTTGTTAGTGCTTCTCTCAAGTCTGATTCAGAGCTGGTAAATAAATCAGACTCCCCTGTAAAATCTAGGAGTACTCGTGCTCAGGCTGCTAAAAGTACAAACGTCGGCAAATCGAGTGCATCTGTTGCTGTTAAAAAAGAAAGCGCGAATAAGAAACCTATCATAGAAGAGACCGACACGGAAAATTCAGACTCGGAGCTGTCAGAAAAGTCAGAATCCCCAGTAAAATCGAGGATTACTCGTGTTCAAGCTGCTAAAAGTACAAAAGCCGTCAAATCAATCACACAAAGTACTGCTAAAAAAGAAACCAAAAATGAAAAACCTGTTATAGAAGAGACCGATACGGAAGAATCTGATTCAGAGCTGTCGGAAAAGTCAATATCTCATGTAACATTTAGGAGTACTCGTGCTCAGGCCGCCAAAAGCACAAGCTCCAGCAGGACTGTTGCACACGTTACCGTCAAAAAAGAAACCAAGAATAAAGCATCAGCCATCGTAGACGAGACCGATACGGAAGAATCTGATTCAGAGCTTTCAGATAAGTCAGAAGTTCCTGAAAAGACTAAGAGCACAAAAAAATCTGATGCAAAGCAACCAAAAACATTGGAATCTAAAAGTTTGTGTACTGCAGAAGTTAAAGTTAAACTGGACATTGTGAGTAATCCTGTTGAAGTCAGAGCTGGTGTTCGGCAAGGTGGGGATTCCAAACGCTCCGATTCAACACAATCAGGCAAGTCTGGAACTACAGACAGCAAAACTGGCAAAAGTCTTAGAAGTACTAGAAACAGAGTTGTTATGAACGAAGAGCCAGAACCTTTGGTTACAGCAAAGTCAACCAGGGGCAGACAAATCAAGCCGAACAATCGGTACGCCAATGGAAGTTCAGCTGCCACGTTAAACACTGATGAAGAGGACGATGAGATAGTAGAAGAAAAAAGCGTGTCCAAAGCTAAAGAAGTCAAAAGCTCTCGTTTAGCAAGTAAAGCGCCCAGAAAGCGTGCAGCGCCACTTGAGTTTAATAAAGAGTCCTCGTCTGTAGAGCCTCTAGAAATCAAGGCTACGGAGAACAGTAGAACTCTAAGAGGTCGAGCCACCAAGAAAGATGTCTTTGAAGCTGCAAATGAGAAATCTGCTACCCGTGCCAAGCGCCCCAAGCTTGACAGCAAATCTGATAGTAGAGTTGCCACTAAACGCCATTTGGTCGATGACTCTGAGAAAGAGACTTCAATTCAGAGAGCTCTTCAAAAGAGAAGAATAAGTCCTGTCCTTGGCGTTTCAACGAGAAGGAGGAAGCTGTCAGCGCAGACGGTATCGCATAAGGTGATGTTCAGCAAGGAAGTGTCTACAGTTCATCGTGACTTGGTTGAGAAACTAGGTAAGACTTTTTTTCATTTGCCAATTTTTATTTTCTCCGTTTGATTTTACTTAAGCAAGTGTTAATAATTCGAATTGACTTTCAGGTGGTGCTGAAGCTAAAAATTTAAAAGATTGCTCAGTTCTGGTTGCTGATCAAGTGCAAATGACATCTGATTTTCTCTGCTCGGTGGCAAGAGGTGTACCGATAGTTTCCACGAGTTGGCTGGTTGATAGTAAAACCGCAAAGACTTTTGTTGACTTGGAAGATTACATTCTAGTGGATAAAGCTGCTGAAGCAAAGTACAGATTCAAACTGAAGGACAGTTTGAAAAAAGCCAAAAGTAATAAGCTTCTGACAAGCTACACTGTGCTGCTGGCTCCACACTCTCAGCCATCTACGGCTGAATTAAAAGGTAAACAATTATAAAAAGTTTGTCTTCAAATGTAATTTCATTATCATCATTGAATTACTTTATATTTTCAGACATGGTTATTGCTAGCGGAGGGAAGCCTATAGTTAAGGCTCCAACGAGATGGCTTGCTAAAACTGTTGTCATAGCAAATAAAGATAATCCATCGACTGCTAAAAAATTGATGGCAAAAGCTATAAAATCTGTCACAGTTCACACAACAGACTTTCTGTTGGTTGGAATCTTACGGCAAGAGTTGAATACAGAAGAATTCAAATTATCAATTTAAGGATAATCAATCTAGTGTGTACGGCAAGAGTTGAATACAGAAGAATTCAAATCATCAATTTAAGGATAATCAATCTAGTGTTAGTAGAGTTTACATATTATTTATTATAGTTAATCATAAAAAGTGTCGAGTTTATGTTGGAATTTATTTATCATGCAATTCAAATGGAATTACTGAATTTTTTATAAATCAAACTTGCAATATTGTCTTTAAGTAAAATGATGTACTGTAAGATATGTGCGTGAATTGTGGAAGTGTCCTTAAAAATACTTAGTTATTTTTTTACAAGATTATAATCTAAGATTTCATAGTCTTAATTTGTGTAATTAGGATAAGTGAAATAAATTATATATCTTACATGCAACTGTTACAAATATTTAACCAATCCAATGCAGCAAATATAAATGAGTTACAAGACAACCTCGACACTACACCTTTTCATTCTTTATCCATACTATCTTTTAATTAGTAAAAGTTTTTTAAAATTGATTCACAAAAATCATGGTAAAATTTATTTATTGAAAAAAGAAATCAGTAGGCAACACATTTGGTTTGTAGAAATAAAAAAAAAAACCTTTTTTTTTACTTAATTTTTAAATACTTTTATTTTATGTCTCGCTCTACAGTATCGATCGAATAATAGGAATCCTTAACTAATTTCAGTCGTTTTACGCTTAAAATTCTGAGGAAANAATACAGGCACGTTTTCTCTTATTAGTTAACAACTCTTAAAAATTACAGACAATCGGAAACATTCGTGTAAATAATATATACGGGCACTGTAAATCTAATTGTTTTTACTTTAGAAAAGCTTCAGTGATAATTATTAGCTATCGATTATTTAAACACTTGAAGTGTTTGAATATTACGTATTCTATGCTAAAACGATTTTAAAAAATGGAACAGTCGAGCTTTGCACGAATAGTTATTATTTTGAAGCATAGAGTGACTTTTTAAATTGAGGACCTACATTGACGTTTCGAGGGGTAATTAAAAATTTAAATTAAAACATTTAAAATAATTCATACAAAGTTTTGCATACTTACGAGGTTGTACAAGTTATTGTACATGTGGTGTTCTAAATTATTTATGAGGTTATTCTCATTTCGTTACATTTTAACCATATTTTATTGAATCAAAAAACAGTTTATGTATGCATATTCGTAACCTAAGCAACATTAGAAGTAAGAGAATTGAGTGATGAACGTTTAAAATATTTACTTTTTGTAGCTTACAATTTAATTTTGAGAAAAAAAATTTTTATCATCTACCTGTGTTAAGTATTAGCGTATCAATCATGAAGAGTCCTGTGTATTAAATGGTAACAAAATTTACAATTTTAAGATCAGGTACTGTTGATAACTAAAATTATTTAATTCAGAAAAAAATCTGTTTGAGAAGGTACTAAGTAGTATTATCATAGTATTTTCAATGTATTGCAACATAATACTCTTACAATACAGTTCATAAAAAAATTAGTAATAAAAAACATTAACTGTTAGTCATCCCAACCAAGTATACAATGTTGCATTTTCCGTCCTCAACTACTAGTGGTTAAATATGACCTTGTATTTTTTCCTGACATTTTCATAAGTATAACATATAGTTTAAATCATCGCTTACAGAGAGACGAATATGAGAACGTTCGTAGCGCCACCGACTACCAATGTTATTGCGGACAATTGAAGACTAAAAAAAGTAAACAAGAAAAAAAATAAGTCAAGTACTTATATAGGTACCGTAAATGGAGACCCGAGGTTAATATGTTATTATGCAAAAGCTGGCGAGTTCTCTTTTTTGGATCTATGTTGTACGATTGTGGAATAAAAAAAAAACAATGAAGTGAACATAAATAAAATTTACCTCTCTTAGTTGGAAACACAATAACGGCTACAGAGACACCCCGCAATAGGACTACTTGCTTTTGATGACTCGCTTGTTGTGCTCAGAGTTCATAAGTTTTGTAACGATTTTTCTGGAATGACCGTTTGGATCAAATTGATTCGTATGCATGCCAGCCTCGCGCTTGCTACGTTGCTTGCCGCCGTGTCCGGTGTAAATGTGCTTGTCGTGGTCAAAGTTGTAGTAATCGTACTCGTCAAAATGATCCTCGAATGAGGAAGACATGGTGTTGTTGCTTCTGATTCTGTACGACCCTCGAGCTAACACCGCCGCTGCTGCTGTGCTCCGACTTTTCTTTGTATGCTTTTTAATTTGCAATGCAAATTGAATGCTGATGCTGAGTGAGCGCAGGTAATGGCTCTTTGTCTTACTGTTTAAACAACTCGATAAGACGAATTACTCACTGTGTGACTGTGTAATCGATTTGCCGTCCAGAAAATTCGGTGCAGAGAAAAGTCGAGTACCAATCGATCAATCAATCCTGTCCAATCGCTCCGTTGTTGCTCCAACAGCAGATGAAAATTCAATACTGTTTTGTTCCCGTCGCGCCGCTCCTTTTATAACCGCAACCGGCCACGCATGCGCTTCCCTCTCCCCTGACTCCCCTCCCCTCCCCCTGCAGTGTTATTTTCTACGCCGCAGAATAACAAGCTACAGCTCTTCTCTACCCGTCCTTGTTTGTTCTGTACACTCTAGCTGATGTTCTTCCTCTCTCTTGCCGTTTGCGTCGCAATAACATCTGCACCTTCCCCCCCTGGCTCCGCTTCTAGTTTTTTTTTTTTTTTTTTTTTTTTTTTTTTTTTTTTTTTTTTTTTTTTTTTTTTTTT